CTGCAGCAGCCCCAAGGCGCAGTCAGCCATGTCTCCATACCTCGTGCTGGATGCGCAGGCGCTCTGCCAGCACCTGGCCGTGGTCAAGCAGCTGGCCGGCAGCGGGAGGTTCATCATCATCATCCCGCGGGCAGGTGAGGGAGCTCTGCGTGCCTCCCCTCCTGCACCTGTGGAGGCACGTGGGGGGCACGGCCCTCCCCCTTGGCCTCCCCTCTTGGCCCCCCCCCCCCCCTTGACCCCCCCCCCTTGCCTCCCCCTTGACTCCCCCTTGCCCCCCCCCTTTCCCCTCTCCAACCCCCCCCTTGCCCCCTCCTTGCCCCTCCCCTTCCCCCCCTCTGCTCCCCTCCCCCCTTGGCCCCCCCCTTAACCTCCCCCTGATCCCCCCTTGACTCCGCCTTGGCCCCCCCCCCTTCCGCCCCCCTTTGACTCCCCCCCTTTGACTCCCCCCCTTTGACCCCCCCTTTGACCCCCCCCTTGACCCCCCTCGACCCCCCCTCGACCCCCCCTCGACCCCCCCTCGACTCCCCCTTGACCCCCCCCTGCCCTCCCCCTGCCCACTTTGTGCATCCTTTCAGTGATCGACAGCTTGGATTTCCTCAAGAAGGAGAACGCCGGCGCCCGGGACGGCATCCGCTACCTGGAGGCGGAGTTTAAAAAGGGAAACCGGTGAGGATGGGGGGCGATGCCGACAGGGGGCGAACTGCAGAGCGACTCTCGCTGAAGGGCTGGCGGCTCTGCTGCCGGGTTTGCGGCGCTCCTGCAGGGGCCTCCGCTCCGTCGGCACCGACCTGAGAGCTGCCGGGTGCTTTGTGGGGTTTGTGGGGCTGAGCAAAGGGTGGAGGAGCCCACGGAGCTGCTGCGGAGCTCTGGCTCTGTTGGTGGGACGCTTGCTTTGAGCTCAGCCACTCTCCCCTTTCCTTAGGTACATCCGTTGTCAGAGGGACGTCGGGAAGAGCTTTGAGAGGCACAAATTGAAGAGACAAGATTTGGATGCGTGGTAAGTGAGAGGCAGGGGAGTGGGATCACAGGATGGCCGGGTCGGAAGGGAGCCCGAGGATCGCTGAGCTCCATCCCCTGCCCCAGGCAGGGCCACCGAGCTCCAGATCTGCCGCCAGCCCAGCTTGCCCAGGGCCCCATCCCACCTGAACGCCTGCAGGGATGGACGGGGCCCCGCAGCCTCTCTCTGCAGAGCTTCCCCCGACATCCCAGCCAAACCTCCCCTCCTTCATCTGAAATCCTTTCCCCCCATCCCTTTGCCCTCTATCTGAGGAAAAAGTCGATTCCCCTCCTGCTGGCGATTGCTTTTTAAGTACTGAAGCTGCAGTGAGGTCACCCCCAGCCATCTCTTCTCCGGCCCCGCGTTCCCTGGGTGTATTGGGAGCCATCTGTGCAGGGAAACCACCTCTCCTCCATCTCTCATCGGTTCCATCTGCGTGGCAGGAACCTCTATAAGATCCTGGACAGCTGCAAGCAGCTGACGGTGTCCCAGAGCAGCGGCGACGACGACACCACAGGGATGGTCACCATCATCACAGGCTTCCAGCTGGAGGATCCCAGCGCGCTCTCAGCGCCCATGCAGGTCGGTCACAGGGCTGTGCTGAGCCCTGGTGCTGCCCAGCAGGGCTGGTTGGCAATGGGGGGCTTGGGTGCTTTGTGCCATCACAGTGCTGGGTCCCCCAAACTCAATTTGGAGCTGGGAGCCCCTCTGGTGCAGGTGGGAGCCCCTACACAAGAAGTGGGAGCCCCTTGGCCGTGCCTGGAGCCCCTTGGCCGTGCCTGGGGTCCCTTGGCCGTGGCTGGGGTCCCTTGGCCGTGGCTGGGGTCCCTTGGCCATGGTGGGGGTCCCTTGGCCGTGCCTGGGAGCCCCTTGGCCGTGGCTGGGAGCCCCTTGGCCGTGCCTGGGAGCCCCTTGGCTGTGGCTGGGGTCCCTTGGCCATGGTGGGGGTCCCTTGGCCGTGCCTGGAGCCCCTTGGCTGTGGCTGGGAGCCCCTTGGCTGTGGCTGGGGTCCCTTGGCCATGGTGGGGGTCCCTTGGCCGTGCCTGGGAGCCCTGGACCCTTTGCTGTGTGCCATCCTGGTGCTGCTTTCTTGCAGTCTGCCATCCAAGCAGCAGCCGGCGCCAGCGTGGAAGTGAAGAACATCCTGGAGTTCTACAAGCAGTGGAAAGAGATGGGCTGATGTTCAGCGGGGCGTCAGGTCGGTGCGGCTGCTGTAGGACGGCTCGGGTTGGCAGGGACCCCAGGAGCATCGCATTGCAGCCCCTCTGCTGCTGCACGGCTCCCACCTCCTCATCTGATGCTCCGGCTGGCCCTGTTCTCTCCCCCTTCTCGTAAAGAAAGGGGCCTCAAACAGCAATAGCAAAACAACACCTCCAAAAATCAAACCAGAAAGGAGTAGCAATAATAGTAATAATAAGGGGGTGGGGGGAAAAGAGAAAACCCAACCCCTTGGGGTCGGCGCACAGCGCAGCCCCAGCCCAGAGTTCTTCCTTTCCCTCCTTTGCTTTATGTCGCTGTGTGGCTTCAAGCAGAGACCCGGTGGGGTTGGGGGGAGAGGAAAGGAGAAGCGACGGTGCAGCGTGGGGTGGGGAGCTGGCGTTAGAAGTGCAGTTTTGGGGGCAACTCTTTCTTTCCCCCCGGGAGCCTCCAGGAGCGGCGCTGGGCTCCCTGTCCCCCGTTCTCCCCCCCCCCCTCCTCATCCCCTCCCTCCCCTCTCGCAGCGTTCAGCCCCGGAGAGCAGAGCGGAGCTGCCGGAGGGGGATGGAGAGCAGCGCGGGATCGGCCGCCGCTTCGGCTCCCAACACAGGGACGGATGGGAGCAGCGGGCGCCTGCAGACGGATCCGCCGCCTCTTTTCTTTTTTCCTTTCGGTTTTTTCCTTTTTTTTTTCTTTTTTTTTTTTCTTTTTTTTTTTTTTTTTTTTTTTTTTTCTCGTTTTCGTTGTGGCTGAAAATCCCTCACCGTGAGGTTTGCGGAGGGGGGATGGATGGAGGAACCCGGAGCCGTCCTCCCTTCTGGCTGCCAGATCACCGTGTTGGGGGAGGGGGGGAGGGCACAGTTCAGACCCCCTCCCCCCCCCCGGCTCCTCACAGCTCCACGGGGGTCGAGCCGCCGAACGCAGCGCTTGGAGAGAGGCAGGGAGCGCTCGGCGTGCGGCGCTGGGGGAGCCGGGGCTCCAGAAGAGCGGCGTCCCACGAAGGATCCCAGAGCTCCAGGAGCCCAAATTCCCCACGCGAAGGATCCCAGAGCTCCAGGAGCCCAATTCCCCTCGCTCAGGACCCCTCGCAGCACCGAGAGGGGCGCTTCCCCGTGCGAAGGTCCCCCCCCTCCCCCCCGAGCTCCAAGAGGAGAACATCCCCGCGCCAAGGACCTCTTCCATCTCCAGGAGCCCGTTCCCCGGGCCGGGACCCCTCGCGGCTCCAGAAGAGCAGCTCCCCACGCGAGGGCTTTGGGAGCTCCGTCCTGCCTGCGCCGCACCCCGTGCCCCACGCCTGGAACCCAGGGCAGCCCGGGGGGGCAGCAGGAGCAGCGCTGCAGCGCATCGCACTGAGACACGGCGCCCGGCAGCTTCGGCTCCTTCGGGTGAACAGCGGCGGCAGTGCAAAGTCCTGCAGCGGCAACGCGAGCTCCCGCAGCAGCAGCAGCGTGAACTCCTGCAGCAGCAATGCAAGCTCCTGCAGCCTCAGTGCAAACCGCAGCAGCCGAGGGGAGCGCCGTGCAGGCAGTCGGAGCGACGTTGCCGCACGCATTTTTTCCCCCCACCTCGTGTTGCACCGCAGCATTCGGGACGTCCCTTCCTTTCAGGTAAAGCCCCACCAAGCAGCCCCCATTTCCGTGGCGTTGGGTCGCAGCCGCGCCGTGGGGTTGAGGTGGGAACGAAGGGATCCCCCGTGGGTTCTGAGCTCGGTTTTGCAGCTCTGCGCTGCTCCGTTGTGCTGAGGGGGGGAGCGCTGCCCCCCTGCGCTGCCATTGGGGAGCAGAGTTTGTGGGGCTGCTGGCGCTGCGCTCTTTGGGGTCCCGCGGTGGCACCCACAAAACTGTCGCTGTTTTGTCCCCATCCCTCCGTGCCCCCTTTGGGTTGTGGGGTGGCCGCGTGGCCACAAAGGAGAGGAGGAAACCTTCAGAGCGGCGCTGGAATGTCAAAGTGCGCCGTGCCTATGGGGGGGGGATTGGAGGGGGCTGCAGCTTTCTGAGCCCCCCAACCCCATCGCTGCCACTCTGGGACGGGCAGATGGAGGGGGGGGGGGAGGAGATGGGCACCGATGGCCGCAGCCTCGCTGTGCTGAGCTCTGTGCTGAGCTGCGCTGCGCCCACTCTGCACTCAGGACTCGGCTGCGGGCTCCCCCCCCCCCCCCCTCAATACTATGGGGAGCAGAGCGAAACATGGGGCAGGGGAGGGGAAAGAAGGCTGCGAGTGCTGCTCGTACTGCGCTGTGTGTTTCTGCGCTTTGGTTTGCTTTCCCTTTTCGTGACGCTCAGCTCGGTGTTCGTCGTTCCTCCCTATGGGGGGGGGGGGGGGGGATGAGGAGGGGATGTGGAACCCCTCAGGCTGCACCGCACCCCCCCCGCCTCTGTGAACCCCCAGATGAACTGCAGCTTCATGCAAGGGGGTTGACGGGGGGGGCTAAGGGAAATTGAGGGGGGCTGGAGGAAGGGGGGGGGGGGGTTGGAGGTTGGAGGGTCTTGGAGACAGGCAGCCCCTATGGGGCTGAGCTGCAGTGCTGACGCCCCCAGTGCGACAATAGACCCCCACACCCCCTACCCAGGAAGGAGCCGCCGTGCCCTGCACCGTGCCTTTATTTCTGTCCGTCCTTCGCGGGGAAGTGGAGCATTACTGAGGGGGGGGGGAGGTGTGGAGCCCCGGGGGGTGAGGGGCTCAGACGGGGCCGTAGAAGCGGCGGTACGCCTCCTGGAAGCCGATCTGGTCCGCCAGCTCGTCGCAGTCGGGGCTCAGCTCGCACACCTCGCGTTTGGACTCCAGGGGGTCCCTCGGAGCTCCGGCGATGCCGCTGCGGAGGGATTGAGGGGGGGGATGCGTTAGGTTAGGGGGGGTCCCGTCCCCAAATTGGGGTTTGTGAGGGGCCGCTGGGGGTCCGCAGTGCCCAAAAAGGGGCTTTGCCGTTACCCGTCGAGGGCCAAATTCCTCTTCTGCCTCTGCACCATCTCGGCGCTGGCGCGGTGGGAGATGAAAGCTGCGGGCACAGAGGGGGGGAAGGGGGTGGGTGACCCCATCCCCAGAGTGGGGGGTGAGGGGGGGGGTCCGGGTGGCACCGTGCCGTGAGCACCCACCTTTAGCGCTGGGAGCATCGGAGCCGTCGGGTGCTGTGAGAGCAGAGGAGCCAATGGGTGCTGAGCCGCATCCGGCCCTGCCCGCTCCTTCCCTCATCCGTCCCCATCCGTCCCCATCCCCTGCCCCATTCCCTCTCCCATCCCCTGCCCCATTCCTTCCCCAATCCGTCCCCATCCCTTGCCTTCCTTCATTCAATCCTATCCCCATCCTTCCATCCCTGTTCTGTGCCTCATTCCCTGCCCCATTCCCTCCCTCCTCTGTCCCCATCCCCTGCCCCATTCGTCCCCTGCCCATTCCCTCCCCCATCCCCTGCCCCATTCCTTCCCCAATCCGTCCCCATCCCCTGCCTTCCTTCATCCAATCCTATCCCCATCCTCTGCCCCATCCATCCGTCCCTGTTCTGTGCCCCATCCCCTGCCCCATTCCCTCCCTCCTCCATCCCCGTCCCCTGCCCCGTCCATCCCCTGCCCCCATTCCTTCCCCTATCCATCCCCACCCCTGGAGGTGTTCGAGCCCACGTTGGACGTGGCCCTGGGCAGCCTGGGCTGGCATTAAATAAATGTGGAGCTTGGTGGCCCTGCGTGTGGCGGGGGGTTGGAGATTCACGACCCTTGAGGTCCCTTCCAACCCTGGCCATTCTGTGATCCCCTCGCCCCATCCGCTGCCCCTTCCCTCATCCACCCCCGTCCCCCCCATTCCCATCCCGTCCCCGCAGCTCTGCGTCCCCCCGGTACCGCCGTGGCAGAGGCTGAACGCGAGCAGCGCCACGAGGAGCAGCAGAACCGCGGCCTTCATGGTGCAGCTCCGCTGCGGCGCCCCGAACCGAACCGCCTTTATAGAACCCCGCGCCCCCCCGGCTCCCCCCCGGCCGATCCCAGCGCTATTTCCAGCACATCCGCCGGCGGGCAGCGGCTGCGGTTTGGGCCGCCCGGGGTTCTTCCACTCTTCCATCCCCGCTGCCGTGGCCGAAGCCGGGGGGGGGGGCCTTTGCTCCGGCTTCCCCCCGCCCCGAACCGCGGGCGCTGCGCGTCCCAACCCATCCGGGAGCGGCGGAAACGGAGGTTTTGGGGCGGAGGTTCGGCTGCACCAAAGCCTTTGTCTGACGGACCGCAAAGTGCAGAGTGCGACGGCCAGGAGGCCGAGCGGCACCGGCAGCGTTTGGCTGCGACGAAGGGAAAGCGCTCGTCAGCCCGCGCCGGGCTGTAATTGCAGACGGTTTGAGCCGGGCGGAAATTGCTGCTTTGCTTCTAAGAATTCCGCTGGCAGGACGCGCAGGGAGGGGGGGGGTTTGCACTCATTGCCCCCCCGAGGTTCTTCGGCCCCGAGCTCCCGATGTCCCGCAGCCCCGTTGCCGCACAGCACGAGGGGCCGCGCTTCGGTCCCTGCCCCACATCCCCACCGCCGCGTCCCCCCGGATGAACTCAAGTCAGGAGACACGAAACCTTCCTTTATTTCTTCCAACGCTTCTCTTCGCCCAAACGCGGTGAACCCGAAGGGTTTCGCTTTCCACGCACGGCCCCGACGCGCCGTCAGCGTCCCCCGGTGTCAGCGCCCAGCGGCTCCGTGCGCCCCTCCTGGAGCGGCTGCAGCGCCGCCGTGAGCGCCCGCTGCTCCCGGCTCAGCGCCTGCGGGATGCGAAACTGCTGCGCTGCTCCAGGAAAGCCCCGACCCAAAGCCTGCAGCTGCAGGGGCGCCCGCCTCCGAACCCGAGAGCTTTCAGGGGCCGCAGGATGGCCGGGTCGGAAGGGAGCCCGAGGATCGCTGAGCTCCATCCCCTGCCCCAGGCAGGGCCACCGAGCTCCAGATCTGCCGCCAGCCCAGCTTGCCCAGGGCCCCATCCCACCTGACCGCCTGCAGGGATGGACGGGGCCCCGCAGCCTCTCTGCAGAGCTTCCCCCGACATCCCAGCCAAACCTCCCCTCCTTCACCTGCAATCCGTTCCCCCCTCGCTCTCTGCCCGAGTGAAAAGCCGGCTCCCCTCCAGCCGCTCTTCAGGCACTGCAGGCTGCAGCAGGGTCGCTCCCCCCTTCTCTCAGCTCCTTGCCCTCCTCTGGACCCCGTCCTGCAGCCCCGCTCCTTTCCTGCACCCCCCCAGGGTGCAGCGCTGCAGTTGGGCCTCACTGGGGCCGAACCCCCCCCCCTCCCCCCCCGGCCGACCCCCCCCCCCCTCCTGGCCGACCCCCCCCCCCCCCCCAGCCCCATCGCCCCCCTCGCTGCTGCCCAGCTCCCGGCCCTTTCGCACCCCGCTGCCTCCCGGCGAAGGACAGGGCTGCAGGGCAGCGCAGAGCATCCTTCCAGCCTGAGCCTGCCCTGCTGCCGTGGCTCTGTGCCCTTCCAGGACCTTCCCACCCCAACCGTTCTGTGACTCCGTGGCCTTCAGGGACTCTCGCAGCCCAAGTGAGCCAAGAGTTCTTTGGTCTTCCAGGACCCTCCCACCCCTGCCCTCCTAGGGTTCTGTGCCCTCCAACCCCCTCCCAAGGCAACCATTCCACCACAGCATGATTTTGTGGCCTCCTAACCCAACTGTGCTGCAATTCCGTGCTTCTGTGGTCTTCCAGGACCCTCCTGACCCAACCATTCTGTGATTCCATGTTTTTGGGCCTTCCAGAACCTTCCCAATGCAACCTTTCCACAATACAGTGGCCTTCCACCACCCTCCCCATCCAATCGTGCTGTGACTCCACGATTCCACGTCCTTCCAGGACCATCTCAGCCCAACTGTGCAGAATGGTTGAGGGTCCTGGAAGGCCAAAGAACCTTGGGATCACACAGTGCTTACGTGGAAGGTCCCAGAACCCCGGGGTGGCAGAATGGTTGGGTTGGGAGGGTTGTGAAAGACCACAGATCCATGAGTTCACTCAGTGGTTGGGGTGGGAGGGTCCTGGAAGATCACAGAACCACAGGATCACAAAATATTGGGGGTGGGGGGGTCCTGGAAGATCACAGAACCACAGGATCACAAAATATTGGAGGAGGGGGGGTCGTGGAAGACCAGAGGACCACAGGATCACAAAATGGTGGGGTTGGGGGTCCTGGAAGATCACAGAACCACAGGATCACAAAATGTTGGGCTTGGGGAGGTCCTGGAAGATCACAGAACCACAGATCACAAAATGTTGGGCTTGGGGAGGTCCTGGAAGATCACAGAACCACAGATCACAAACTGTGGGTTGTGAACCATCCTAAGGTCCTGCGGCCCTTCAAGCCCCCCCAAGTACCCCCTCCTCCACAGCCGGATTCTGTGGTCTTCCATGACCCAGGGGGTCGTTACCCAGGATCGCCCTGCAGCCCCCCAGCGGCGCCCGTTGCTTTTTGGGACGCCGACGGCTCCCCGCTGCACGAGGGGCCCTGCTGCCCACCTGCCACGCCGCCCTGCGCTCCGCGATGTCGCGCCGCAGCGCCGCAATCCGCTCCCTGCCCTCCAGCACTGCCGCCGCAGCTGCACGGTTCTCCTCCCGGCCGCGGCTCAGCTCCCGGCTCAGGAAGCAGCGCTGCTTCAGCAGGAACGGCACCAAGGCGCTGCGGGCGTCCGCCTCCGGGATGCCGCTGGGCCGCCTGCGGGGTCACAGCGCCGCGTGGCCCCACAACCCACCCAGCGCCCCCATCCCCCCTCTGCCCACCCCCACCATCGCCCCTCGCAGCCCCACAACCCATCCAGTCCCCTCCCCCATCTCGCCCTTTGTGCTGCCCCCATCCCCACCCATCTCCCCGGCTGTGCAGCCCCACAACCCACCCAGTCCCCCCATCTCCCCTCTGCCCACCTCCAACCCCCCACCCATCTCCCACCATCCCCCCTCGCAGCCCCCCAACCCACCCAGTCCCCCCCATCCCCCCCTCTGCCCACCCCCATCCCCCACCCATCTCCCCCACAACTCACAGCCCCAAAACCCATCCAGTCCCCCCTCACCCCCTCTGCCCACCCCCACCCATCTCCCCCCACCTCCCCCACACCGCGCAGCCCCCAAACCCATGCAGTCCCCCCCATCTCCCCCTCTGCGCTGCCCCCATCCCCCACCCATCTCCCCCGCTGTGCAGCCCCCCAACCCACCCAGTCCCCCATCGCCCCCTTTGCCCATCCCCACCCATCTCCCACCATCGCCCCTCACAGCCCCCCAACCCACCCAGTGCCCCCATCTCCCCTTTGCCCATCCCCACCCATCTCCCCCACACCGTGCAGCCCCAAAACCCATGCAGTCCCCCCCATCTCCCCCTCTGCGCTGCCCCCATCCCCCATCCATCTCCCCAGCTGTGCAGCCCCCCAACCCACCCAGTCCCCCATCGCCCCCTTTGCCCACCCCCCCATCTCCCACCATCACCCCTCACACCACACAGCCCCAAAACTCATCCTGTCTCCCCCCATCACCCCCTTTGCCCACCCCCCCCACCTCCCACCATCTCTTGCACAGCCCATCACCCCCCAGTCACCCCACACCCCCTCCCCAGTCCTCCCAGCTTCACCTCTCAGCACCTGCTGAGGGTGCCTGCCGTCCCCTCACTGATGAGGATGTTGAGTGAGACCGGACCCCCACCAGGACCCCCAGCTCCTTCCCCACAGCCCTGCAGCAGCTCAGCCCCCCCCCCCCATTCTCTCCCCCTACCAGGCCGGCTCCTCGCTGCCCCTCGATTCCTCCACGATGGCATCCAGCGCCCGGAACAATTCCTCCAGGTTCCCCTCCTTCTTCACCTCCTGGATCTCCTCCTGTAGGACAAACGCACACGATGCAAAGCCAAACCCAAACGGCCCCGCAGAGCCCCCCCCAACCCCACAGACCCCCTCCTCGCCACCTCCCCTCCCCCACAGATCCCCCCCCCCACGACAGACCCTCTCCAGCCTCACAGACCCCCTCCCCTACGCAGACCCCCCAACCCACAGAGCCCCAATGCTCACAGACCCCAACCCCCCCCCTACAGACCTCACACAAAGACCCCCCCGATGCCCACAGAACCCCTCGCCTCACTCCCACAGTCCTCCCCCCCATGCCCTCAGATCCCCCCCCACACCCCATACCCACAGATTCCCCCCCCTCCAGACTCCCTCCCCCACCCCAAGACCCTCCCACCCCCCACAAAGACCCCACACCCACGGTTCCCCCCCCATAGACCCCATACCCACAAATTCCTCCAACCCCACAACGCTCCCCACACCACCCCCACAGAATCACCCCCACAGACCCCCCCTCCTCACCCCCACAGACCACTCCACACTCACACATCGACCCAAGACCCCACAAATCCCCCACCCCAATCCTCACAGGACCCCCACCTGAGACCCTCCCCCCATCCCCACAATCCCCCCACGCCTCACTGACCTCCTATATCCCCCCCAGATCCCTCATATCCCCCCCCAGACCCCCCATATCCCCCCTCAGACCCCTCCCACCCCCCCAGATCCCTCCCCCATTCCATAAACCCCCGCATGCCCACAGACCCCCAGACCCCCCCCAGACCCCTCCCTCACAGATCCCCCATACCCACAGACCTTTATATCTCCCCCCCAGACTCCCATATCCCCCACAGACCCCTGCCCCCCTCACAGACCCTCCCCCCCATCCCCACAAACCCGATGCCTCACAGACCCCCATATCCCCCCCCCAGACCCCTCCCGCTCCCTCTGATCCTCCCCCCCCAAGCCCACAGACCCCTCACAGACCCCCCCCATACCCACAGACCCCCGTATCCCCTCAGACCCTTCCAACCCCCTCCAGATTCCCCCCCCCATCCCCTTAATGCCCCCCAACCCCACAACTCCCGCCCCCCCCCCCTCCCCGGACCGTAACGGCGGTTCGGAGCTGCGCCAGGAGCTGCTCGTGGATGCTGCGGGTCACGTGGGGCTGCGCTCGGTAGAAGCGGCGGTAGCAGTGAGCGAAGCGTTCGTAACTGCGGGGCGGGCAGCGGCGGGCCGGGGCGTCACGGCGGACCTCAAACCCCTCCGACCCCCCCCGACCCCCAGCCGCCCCGCCGCCCCGCACCTCCCCGCCGCCAGCAGCTTCTCCAGGAACGCGTCCACCACGGCCGCCAACAGCGCCGCGCGACCCGGACCGCCGCCATCGCCGCCACCGCCGCCACTGCCCTCAGCCGCCTCAGCCGCCTCAGCCGCCTCTGCCATTTCCCGCCGCCCGACGGCCTCGACTCACATTGGCCGCCGCTTCAGGGCTGACTCGCCGTCCGATTGGTTACTGCCTCCTCGTGCGGCCCGCCCCCTCCGCCGATTGGTTGGTTAGTCCGCGAGGCGCCGGTCCCCACCTCCGATTGCCACCGCCTCAGGGCGGGGCCAGCCCCTTATTGGCCCAAGAGAAGGCCCGCTTCCGCTCGGTTATTGGCTCCTCGTACGGCCCGCCCCCTGCACTGATAGGTCGCTACCTCAGAGCCGGACCGGCCGCCGATTGGTTTCCGCCTCCTCGAGGCTCCCGCCCCCTCCGCCGATTGGCTGCTGCCTCAGTCAGCCTCCCCCTTCTGTCCCCCGCGTCGAGGAAAAGCCCGCCCGCGATTGGTCACTACCTCCGTCCGATTCCCGATTGGTCAACGCTGCCGCATCGCGCACGGTTCTAATTGGCCACGGCCGCCCCGCTGGTCCCGCCCCCGCCGAGCGGCGCTCCAGGAGCGGAACCGGAGCAAAATGGGAGCAGAAGCAGAGAGGAACGGGAGAGGAGCCGAAAGGGAATGGAAGAGGAACGGGAGAGGAGCCGGGGCGGAACGGGAGGGGAACGGTAGAGGAGCCGGAGCGGGAGTGGAACCGGAAAGGAGCCGGGGCGGAACGGGAGAGGAGCCGAAAGGAAATGGGAGTGGAATCAGAAGGGAACGGGAATGGAACTAGAGCGGAATGAGAGAGGAGCCGGAGCTGAACAGGAGCAGAATGGGAGGGAAAACGGAGCGGAACGGGAGAAGAATGGGAGAGGAGTCGGAGCGGAACCGGAGCGGAACGCGGCGGACGCGCCTTTATTCGCCCCGACGTTCCTTCCAGGTCAGCCCCGGGCTTCCGCCGGGGTCGCTCCATTGAGCGGAGCCGTGGGCGATGCGTCCATCCCCGGAGCCCCAGCGGCTCCCGGTCCGTAAAGTGCACAAAACGTGGGAACGAGCGCCCGGCGCGGCCGTCAGAAAGCGTTCAGTAACGCCGGGATCCGTCCGAGGGCAGAACGGGGCAGCGCGGGGCCGCCCTGAACGCAGCAATGAAGGCTGCGGCGGCTCCGAGTCGCGCTGCTCGCGCACCTCCAGCAGCCGTCGAGGAACGCGGGGCCGAACCGCCGCGAGTGGGGTTGAAGAGGGCAGAAAAAGGGGACGGAAGGCGGAAGCTGCGGGCTCCGGTTTCACAAAGGACGGAAGGGCACAAAGGGCTCCGTGCGGCGCCGGGCAAAAACGCTGGTGGAGCTCAGGGCGGCTCCGAGAGCTGCGGTGCTGAACACGAAGGCGGCTGTGGAGCTGCCAGCCCTACCAGTGCCGGGAGTCCATCAGCTCCGGGCGCAGGCTCAGCTTCTTCAGCGTTTCGTAACCCACCACGATGACGATGGTGGAGGGGGTGGCGGAGATGATGCGGGCGGAAAGGCCTTTGGTCAGACCCCAGGGTCCCTCCTCCGCCATCAGCTGCTTGAAGGTGAGCACGATGGAGCTTTTGCCTTCCACCTGCAAGGCGCACAAACACAGACGTCAGGGACTGGGAGGACCTGGAATTCGCCCAGCCCAACCCGAGAAGCAGGGCGACGCGCTGCGCTCAGCCCAGGACTCTGCCTCATTTGTGATGCTGTTCTCTGCCTGAGGAAAAGGATTCTTTCCTCCCCCTTTTGATCCCAGCGGTGCTCCCAGATCAGCTCAGCATCAGAGTGAGGCCTTTTGCCTTTTGGGCACTCTCTCCCTTGGATTTATTATTCTATTATTTTGATAGTAATTGATTTATTAGCTCCAATTCTAATTGTACTGTATTGCATTGTATTACAGTGCTTTGTCTTGCACTCCGATGTTTTATTTAGCAAATCAGTTTCTTTCTCCTCAGACTGTTGCTGCTGTTCTGGTTTTGGGCTCATCTCTCCCCCACCCTTTTCCCCTTTTTCCCCCCCACCCCTTCAGTTACTGAACTGGGCTGAACCATCAACCACCGACATTTTGGTGGAGAATCACAGCACGGCCTGGGTTGAAAGGAGCACAGCGACCATCAGTTCCAACCCCCAGCTGTGTGCAGGTCACCAACCAGCAGCCCAGGCTGCCCTGAGAACCCATGGGGTGCCATAAGGACCCAAAGGGTGCCATAGGGACCCAAGGGGTGCCATAAGGACCCAAGGGGTGCCTTAAGGATCCATGGGATGCCATAGGGACCCACAGAATCATTGACTCGTGGAATGGCCTGGGTTGAAAAGGTTCGTCTCATTCCAACCCCCTCCTGTGTGCAGGGTCACCAGCCACCAGACCAGGCTGCCATAAGGATCCAAGGGGTGCCATAAGGATCCAAGGGGTGCCATAAGGATCCAAGGGGTGCCATAGGGACCCACAGGGTGCCATAGAATCATTGACTCATAGAATGGCCTGGGTTGAAAGGAGCACAGCGACCATCAGCTCCAACCCCCAGCAGTGTGCAGGTCGCCAACCAGCAGCCCCAGCTGCCCTGAGAGCCCATGGGATGCCATAGGGACCCAAGGGGTGCCATAGGGATCCATAGGGTGCCATAAGTACCCAAGGGGTGCCATAAGGATCCACGGGGTGCCATAGGGACCCACAGAATCATTGACTCGTAGAATGCCCTGGGTTGAAAAGGCTCATTTCATTCCAACCCCTTGCTGTGTGCAGGCTCACCAGCCACCCAACCAGGCTTCCACAAGGATCCAAGGGTGCCATAAGTACCCAAGGGGTGCCATAAGGATCCATAGGGTGCCACAAGGACCCATGGGGTGCCATGAGGATCCATAGGGTGCCATAAGTACCCAAGGGGTGCCATAGGGATCCATAGGGTGCCATAAGGACCCAAGGGGTGCCATAAGGATCCATAGGGTGCCATAAGGACCCATGGGGCGCCATAGGGATCCATAGGGTGCCATAAGTACCCAAGGGGTGCCATAAGGATCCATAGAGTGCCATAAGGACCCATGGGGTGCCATAGGGATCCATAGGGTGCCATAAGTACCCAAGGGGTGCCATAAGGATCCATAGGGTGCCATAAGGACCCATGGGGTGCCATAAGGACCCACAGAATTGTAGACCCATCGAATGCCCTGGGTTGAAAAGCAGCACGATGCTCATCAGTTCCAACCCCCCTGGCCTCGAATGCCTGCAGGGCTGGGGCACCCACAGCCTCCCTGTTCTTGTGTAGAACAGAAAGGCAGGCAGATTTCCACTGTCACAAACCAATGTTTTATCGACCAGACTTTGAGGTACTTGTGATGTTATGAAGTCGGGTTGTATCGCAGATTCTAGATGTGTTTTTTGTATTTTAAGATAGAGCTTTTTTCCCTGTCACTTAAAACCACACAAAACGCTTTCCTAGTTGCTTCATTTCTTGCTCGCTTCAGCCTGTTGTTCCTGCATGCTTCCTAATGCCTGCAGCCTTCATTTACCCCTGCTGACATCCTTAAATGGGCTTTCAGGACTCTTGCAAGTGGATTCTATGGTTGTATTTCAGTGCTGGACCGACTGACATGGAATTTCTTAAGTCGCCTCCCCAGGGAGTAGTCTAGGAGTAGTCCAGATCCATCGAGGAACGCGGGGCTGTGTGGTGGCTCTGGCCGGAGCTGCACAGAGCCCTCCTGCCTGCAATCAGTCATTTGTGCACTGCTGGCTTTGCTCCGTTATTTTGTCCTGGGTGTCCTGGTGGACGACAGGTTGCCATGGGGCAGCAGGGTGCCCAACATGGCGTCCTGGGGTGCCTTGCATGGCCAGCAGGTGGAGGGAGGCGATGCTCCCCCTCTGCTCTGCCCTGTGAGGCCTCACCTGCAGCCCTGCGTCCAGTTCTGGGCTGCCCAGCACAAAACAGACAGGGAGCTCTTGGGAACAGAACAGCGCAGGGCCAGGAAGATGGCGAGGGGCCTGGAGCATCTCTGCTATGGGGAGAGGCTGAGTGAGCTGGGTCTGTTCAGCATGGAGAACAGGAGACTGAGAGGGGAGCTGATCCAGGTCTGTGAATATCTGAGGTGTGGGGGCAGCACGGCGAGGATGGACTCTGTTCAGTGGGGAGTGGAGACAGGAGGAGGGGAAACGGCCGGAAACTGCAGCATAGGAAATTGTGCACAAATATGTACAAGAACTTCTGTACAGTGAGGTGAGGAGCACTGGAACAGGCTGCACAGGGAGGTGGTGGAGTCTCCTGCTCTGGAGATGTTCCAGACCTGCCTGGATGCCGACCTGTGCGACTGCTGTAGGAGCTGCTTTGGCAGGGGGTTGGACTCGATGATCTCTGCAGCTCCCTTCCAACCCCTACAATTCTGTGATGCTGTGATTTTGGCTGCTTTTTAAACCACTCGTTTGCATTTTTAAACAGCGCAAAGCTACGCCGCCACGTCGGCAGCAGCGAGGGCAGAGGGGAAAGAAGAGCCCTCATAAATGAGCCGATTAATAAAGCTTCAAGGCTTCGATGACATTCAGCCCCTCTGCGAGTTCGTGTCGCAGCCTTTGCGGAAGCGGCTGAAAAACCGAACAGAACGGAGAGCAACGAAGAAAAGCCAAGGGATGAACTGCCTGCGACGCCCGATGCTGACGGACGGCACCAGGGCGGCACCAGATGCACCTATGGGGAGCAGGATTCCCAAAGCAGCCTCCTGGAAGGGCCGAGCACAGCGCTTTCCTCCCAGCCCGCACCGCCCAACGGCCCGGCTGTCGGCACAGACGTCCTCCTGCTCGAGCGAGGGCCGGCAGCAGCACCGCGCCGCGTTCTGCCTCGCGGCTCTGCCTGCGTGAGCACGGAGATGCGAAGGAGCGGCACGAAAAAGGCGCCGCGCCGCAGGAGCTGCAGGACAGACGGAGCGCCGGAGCAACCGCTGCACAGAAGCGAGCGCTGCAGTTGCTGCGGGACGCGGCAACGGCCTGAGAACAACAGAGGGCACCGACAGAGGGGTCCTGCCCAGCGCCGGGAGGGACGGCAGGCTGCGCCGGAAGGCGTGGCTGAGGCGGCCTGGCACAGCAGAGCCACCGAAATGGGAGGCGCTGGTGGACACCGGGTGCGGAGGGGGAGGAGAACCTCCCTGGACCTCCTGCAGCCCCCTTGTAAGGCGCCTCGGGGCGCCTTCAGCCTTCTTGGCTGCCTCCTGTCCTCCCGCTGCCCACCACCACCCCCAGGTCCCTCTCCCCTCCGCTGCTCTCCAGCAGCCCGCTTCCCAACGCGTTCCGGCACCCAGCCGTTCCTGTCCACACACCGGGCTCTACGCTGCCCCTGCTCCACCTCATCCCATTTCTCCCCGGCTCTCCAGCCTGCCCGGCTGTCCCTGGGTGGCAGCACAGCCCTCTGCCTGTCGGCCTC